TGTGATAATGACCACAATGAAAGGCCTGTAATAAGAGCAGGTCAGGAGAGGATAATGTATTAAAACCCTGTTTTTAGTCACTGAGAGATAAAGAACGCTAATGAGAAGAACTGCCAGTTAAAAATAAAGAAATACTGTTTATTTCTTTTGTCATTCATTCATAAGACATTTATTGAACACTTACAATATTCCAGGCACTGTCTTAGGGATACAGAGGCAAGTAAGAAATTTTTCTTTCTTTGATGGACTCATAGAATAGCTCAGGAGACAGCTGGGAAATAACTAGTTGCAATACTACGAAATAAGTTCTCTAATATGCTTACGTTAAAAGTATAATTATATCATACAATTAGGGATCACCCAGTCCTGAACAAGTTTCACAGAGGGAGAGATGTTTGAGTTTGATCTGGAAAGACAGTGTACACGAGGCCAACTGCACATGATCCATGTAATTGGTTGTTGTGAGGTCCAAACGAACCATTTGGTGAAGCTATTTACAAAGGCATATCAATGAGGAAGGCTTATTCTGCAAATAACAAAAACTCACACACAAAATTGTTTAACTAATAATGAAATTTATTAACTAACATAATTAAAATTCTAGAAATAAAGTGGCCTTCAGTTCCTTCCACCTTTTTGCTGTGCCATCCTCTGTTTTGGCTTCATCTTTGAGGTGTTAACACGATGGACAGAGCAGCTGTAAATGTATAAGAAAGCAAAGTGCAGAGGAAGAAGAGAGACTGTCTCTCCCTTTGGCTCTCTCCTGGGGGTGGGTAATTTTATTGAAGTCAGAAATTTGACTTCACCTTTTGTCTCCTGGGCCAACTAAGTTCTAAAATGGACCACAGGATTGATTTCTGAATCAATGTATGGCAGGAGAATTGGAACAAGGATGGGAGACCTCTGTCACAGTACACCACTGGCCAAAATGCATAGCCATGCACGCTTGCTATCTTTCAAGCAGAGAGTGTATACACATCTAGAACCAGTAAAGCAAGCTCTAATAACTTGCTCTATATTTCAACATCACTTCTGACTGAACCTTCAGCTGCTGAGGCATTTATTTTGAGCCTGGGTCTCAGCTTCCTGAAATTGACTTTAGGGTTTTTGCTTACCTTATTTTTCCCTCCAGATATTTTAGTAACTGTTCTACCTATAAAGATACCACATTATGAATTTCTTCTTTATATGTTTTCATCAAAAGCAATTCTTTTTCCCACTTACTACTTTGTGGTGCCAAAACATCAACTGCTTGTTTGTCTTGTCCACAAATAGATGACTTGAATAAAATATTTCTCTGAATAGAAGAAATATTTCATACAAAGCAGATAAAAGTATGAATGTTCTTCTTCTGGCCCCCGACACTCTAACTTTCCAGCATCTTTGAAACAACTTGAGTTCAAAGCTGTAATTTAAACCCACAGGCCCTGAATCTAATCCTTCTTAGTACACTAAGTACCTGCAAAGTCCACTCTCATTACTGGGTTGCAGAAGATGATTATGGAAATAATTGCACAGAGATTGAAACTATTTGCTGCCTTTGTCTTGCCTTTAGAATATAGATGCCAAACATCATTTTTTTCTCCATAAAACTTCTCAAAATTTCCCCTCACAATTTTAAATGGTGTCTTTTAACATCAAAATTACTTTGTAATACTGAAAGATGAATTTTCCAGGCATTAGCTTTACTTCCTTTTCAAGGCTTACGTCACATACCACTATTCACTTGTCACCTTTCTTCCCAGTCCTCAATTACCCTTGATTAAAAACAATGACAATACTAATAACACCCTACGCCTTACTCTAAGCAACTGTAGGCATTTCAGTTACATTAACTAATATCAGTCCATCAACCCTGCAAGGAAGGGAGGGGAAGATATTACTTTAATGAAGAGGACATGCAGGCACTGTGACTTATCCAAACAAAAAAACAGCTGAGGTGGACCAAAAGAGGATTTCCTAGGGTTGTGTGGGAATACACCCTTGCCAGGTGTTCATCAGACATTTGTTGGGGTATTCCTTCAGGGTTGATTCAGTATCCATTGTTCAAAAGGCTGATCTCCATTGAAAATTGTCTCTGTTCTACAAGTAATATTTATCAGGTGACACTTGCATGTAAATTTCTTTGCTGGAAGGTATAATCATTGACCTGGATTTAACTTCACATGTTAATTTTCTGTTTCTTAATTTGGTGGTAAATAAAATGAGTCAAATGCTGGTGCCTAGAATCTTCGGTCTTGCTGCTGCTGCCCATTGGCCATTTCAGAAGAGTCATGTGATAAATAGCTCTTTAAATGATGTTACTAGCAGCACTGGAAAGCTTACCTTTCTCTGGTTCTCTGTTGTGAGTGCCTCTCCTCAGCAAGCTTTCCATGATGGTTGAGCCCTTTTTGGGAACCTGGAAGCTGGTCTCCAGTGAAAACTTTGAGGATTACATGAAAGAACTGGGTGAGAAATACCATTACAAGATTTGAAAACTAGCAAAGCATTTTGTGATGTGGCTGGGTTTGTACTTTACAATGAATTTTCCTACAATTTCTCTTTCTTATGTAATCCTACTGTATATTCATATGAGAATAATATAGTTTATGCATCTACTCTTGCTTTTTTAAATTACTAGTAATAATTGTCTCTTTTTAGAAGACTAGACTAATCTC